GCATTTTAAATGAACAACTTTATTATTAAAAGAAATCCTTTTGTTCTTCCGGCTGTATCTCCCCTTCCCCCATTAATAAAAAACTTGCTGAGGGTCTCTGATGGCCAAGACGCTTCAAAAGGTACACAGCTGTCTTCCAATATAGCAGCTCAAATCCACTCCAGTTGAAACTCATTTAACCTGAAAAGCAGCAACTCACTGCCATGCCTTCCCTCTTTCAAATCCCACTGACTGTTTCTTCTTTACATGAACTTAACTCTAGTGTCACCCTGCTGGGCTAGAACAAAGTTTTACAGAGGATCCACATTTCCACAGATGATCCTTATATGCAATTATTTAACCTACATTACTATTTCAACCCATTCTCATATCTAAGTTAACAGTGACCCAGTAATTACTGAGTTCAATAACCCAATGGGTCAGCAGCCTTTGTGAGCCTCTATGAGAGTTATGATGAACAAAATTACTCTCTTGCTTAAACAGTTGACCCTTGAGCAATGCCAAGGTTAGGAGCATTGACCCACTGTGCAGTGGAAAAGCCACATATAACTTTTGACTCCCCCCAAAACTTAATTACCAATACCCTACAGTTGAACCAGAAGCCTTACTGATAACATAAACAGTTGAATAACACATATTTTGTATGTTATATGTATTACATACTATATTCTTAAAAGAAAGTAAGTTAGAGAAATGTAATTAAGAAAATATATTTATAGTACTGCAGTGTATTTATGAAAAAAAATTAAAAGTGTATGAGTGGACCCACCAGTTTAAACCCATGTTGTTCAAGGGTCAACTGTATTATAAATGAAGATAATTTCTAATATTTATCCTCAAAGGTATGCCCACTTCTACAGAGAAAGGAAACAGGATCTGTTATTAAAAGCAGATGCAATCTACTTATTTTCCTCTAAACACCTTTTCCCTCATGCCTTATGGAAAAACCCAACTCGAAAGCACAGTTGGAAAATTCAGTTCTATTTTTTAGTGCCATCTTTGGCAAAAAAAAAAAAAAAAAGCGGGGTAAGGGTGGAGAAGGCACAGTAGATATAGAAAGGATTATAGACTGGCTGTGATCTCTCAAAGTATTTTGCTAATACAATTAGGCAAAGAATTTAATCCTTATTTTGGCAACAGGAGGAAAAGGAGCTTCAGGAAGAACCTTCTATTGCATGTGGTTGTCCTCGCTCACTCTCTCATCGAGGGGTCCCTGTGACCTACATTTATTTCCCCAGCACGTTCATGTACCCACTTTTGATTTCAAAAAGGTTTTTTATTTTTCTCAAAAAAAAAAAAAATCAACAAGGAGAGAAGTCTCACTGAAGACAAGTAGTTTGTTTCAAGAAGGAAGAGAAAAAATGGCATGTGATACCTTACAGTAGTTGCTTGAAAATACATGTCTCTTTGTTTTCTGCATGAAATCTTTTTAAAAGTCCTCTACCTTACAGCTGAGCTTTCCCTCTATGCCTTGACTTGGTCCATCTGTCCTCCCATTCAGAAGGCACAGTCACAAAGTGAGAATTACACTGAAGATATTTTTTATGCTTCCACATAGCGCTCATCCTTCTTCAGATACTATTAAAACACTTACCAGAGCTCTGCCAGGTGAATAAGCAGAGAAAGAACATTTTCCATTTACTTTCATTATGGGTCACCATGCACATGGGGTCCCTTCTTGGCCAGAGAGCACTCTGTTGCCCCCGCCCTCCCCCCTCTCAGCAGGAGCAGGGGTGTGACAACTACCCATCTAATTTGCATTCCTCCAAAGCCACGCTCTACAAAGGGAAACTACAAGCAACTGGCAACCAGATGGGAAAGAGCTGATGAACCCCCAGGGGACAACTGCCCATATAAGGCGATTGGCACCTTATAGGAAGTGCTGCTGGGATTGACAGTACCTGCCTTGGGTTTTTGTTGAAGTTCACCAGACAAGGGGGTGATAATAGCTGCAGAAGAAGGAATACTTTTACAATCTGCATACATCCCATGTTCACTGCTAAGCCAAGAAAGGGTGAAATTAACTCCTTTGGAGCAAGGGGTTTTATGTTTCAGAGGAAGCAGGAGGGGCTCACCGGCACACCGTCCCCTCTCTGGAGAGTTTCACAAACGCCATTGGCCTTTACCATGGCTAAGAGCCTCAATGTCTTTCCAGTATAAATATTAACCCCTATACAACCTGATGAATGATAAAAGCACACCAAAAAGAATAAAATATTCAAATAAAGTGAAAGCCTAGAATAAACCGTATGTATTGTAGTGGTGTTAATAAAACAATAACATTATCTCCTTGTCCGAGACATATATAAAACCTCTAATTAGCTCCTAAAATATATACACACGGTATGTGTTTGGCATATTATAGGTTTGCAAATGCATACATTATAAAAGTGAATGTTAGTTTCAAAAGAAAAAAAATCTCATGCCCATTTTGTATGGCAGTCCATTCATGCTTTAGCCTCCAAAGGCACATCAGAGAAGCTCCTTTTTAGAATATAGCAAGTGATCCACTGTGGATTATAATAAACTTGGTCCTGGGAATATCATCTGCTTTGTCTATGATGAATTATAGCAGAAATTACAAATGTTCAGTACTGCGTTTTACCTCCAGACAAAATTCACTATTCATATAAAACTTTTCCAAGCAAGTAGAACTGAGTATGTTTTTCTTAGATAATTCTACTTCATCATTTTCTTTTACCTGTATCTCAGCCTGAGGAAAAAAGGAGCAAACTGCAAAATATTATTTATTTTATAAATAATAAAATGACTTTCCTCCTATCAATTTCCTCCATGACAAAACCAGGGCTTACTTCTGGGGCACAGAGGGCTGAATGTTCCTGCAAAGAGCACAGTTGGTTTACCTAATAACTAAAAGGGTTTGATATTGTCTGGTGAAATGAGCGGCTGGTGCAAGGCGTCTAAAAGATCAACATATCTGTGTGACTTGAGAATTGTCTTGGCGTTTCCAGGCTTCTTAAAAGTTCTGGTGAGCTGTTCCTCAATGGCCAATGGGTGAAGGGAGACCTTGTCAAATGGCCTGTTTCTCTGCCAGGTCCCAAGCTGTTTACAACTTTCTGTGATGGAGCTGAAGCTGACTTCATTGATATCTACGGCTGGATAATGGGAATCAGGTGTCCCTTTCGAACCAGGATAGGAAGAGAGTGGTTATTAAAAAAAGAGCTCTCTCTCCTCTAACCCACCACTACGTAGCTAAGAGGCTCCCCATCTTTTAAAACTTAAGGGTCTGGACCAAACCAAAGAATCTCACACTTGATGACAGTATTTTTGTTCAAGTCATGGAAATGCATCTGTTGGCTACAGCCTCAGGCTAACAAGAGAGAACAGTATTTGAGTTATAAAGTATATTTTTGGAAAAAGGACCCCAAAATTATGAAAAAGCAACTTCTTGCCAAATAGAGGTCCTAATCCTGAGCAACACTCATTTGCAGTGGGGACCATCTTCGGCTGTTCCACTGGATTCATGAGACTATAACTTCATTGCATGTGAAAACTCCGTCACTGGAGCTGAATGAGCTTTAGGACGGAATGAAGATCATAATGACAAATACAAGTTGGGAGTGTAACCCAGTATCGTGGACCAACACAACGCCCCCAAGGCGTGGAATCAGCAATTAAGTCTTGCTGCTGATGCCTGGGGAGCGCCGTGGGCTGACCTCATTCTACAGATGAAGAAACTTAGGGGGTTGACGTCTAAGTGTATATACCTCTAACTCTCTTTCAAACCATTTAAAGAAAGAAGGTAAAGTTTTAATGAAAGTACACTCAGCAACTGTCGTCAGCCTTGGCGCTGTCCTGGCAGGTACAGACAAAAGGTGTACGCACAGAGCCCAGACTGAAGTGTTATGTTGTAATCTTGAATTGTGAGCAGGGCTTAAAAAAATGGGTTTCCTCTGGGCCAAGACAGGACTGTGAAAAGTTATTATAATTTAACAGGTTTCAACTGATTCTCAGAGACCCCTGAAGAAGGTCAAGTATGCTCCGGGAGCACAATCTCCTGCTTCCTTGATCCTCTGGAGAGCTGGCTGAGTCCTCTCCTGGCTTCTGGACAGTCCTACAGGTCATGCTGCTCTCTTTCTCAAACACATCAGACTTAGCCAGTATGCAGTGCTCCCCTCCTGTCTTCCTAAGTTCCCCTGTGGTGTGGTGGAAAGAGCACGAGTTACGAACTCAGCGACCTGGCTTCCAATCTTCGCTCCTCCGCTTACCGGTGGGCTAACTCTGGGGAAATTACTTAATTGTGATGGGTCTCAGTCTCTCCACCTGTAAAATGGGGGCAAGGACCTCACAGGGATTCTTAGGGAGAGCACGTGACAGTATATTTAAATCCCCTGGCCTCTGCAAAGTGGGTGCCTGGTCCCTCTCATTTCCTTTCTCACTTCACTATTGCTTTCTTGAGCTGAACTAATCCCTCCCCAAGCACTGGGCTCCCCTGGCTCCGTGCTGCTCCTCGCCAGCCCCACCCCTTTCTCATCATCTACGCATGTGCTCATCTCAACCAACCTCCACAATTCAACTCAAAGGCCACTTTCCCCGGGAAGTGCCCCTTGAGATCCTTTCTCTCATGTGATGTTCCCAGATCTATGAAATGTTTCTACACCATTTTATAAATTATTTATCTATTATTTATCTGTCTTCCCTGCTAGTCTAGGTCTAGGGCATCCAGCCTAGCACTCACTGTACCTGGGTGCCTGGCAATATTTGTTTAATGAACAAATGTGTAAATACAGGACCAAAAGGGGAGCTTCTAATGTGCTCACTTGAATGATGGTAATGCTTTAGCCAGTACTCTAAATGAAAACAATACTCAGAAAACAGCCAGAATCAGAATGTGAGATGCACTCTGTGGGGTGAGAAAAAGCATCTGCCTCTGCAGGAGCCAGAGAAGTTATGTGGGAAAAGCAGCACAGACAGGACAAGCGACAGAAGCCTGGGGCCAGGACAGCGGCTGGAAGCCTCAGCCTAGACACAGCGCCAACCTGCAGAGACGGAGACCGTCCTGTGCGTCGAACCAGACTTTTGGGATAAAAGAAATTGGATGAAGAACGATGCGTGTTTGGCAGCTGCCATAAAACATGAAAAAAGGGAAGAATGAACAAAGAAATATCTTCAATTTAGAAACACTATACAAAAAAACAAAACAAAACAAAACCTTTGGGAAAATGAATTTGATAGTAACTGTCAAGGGGCATCGCTTTAAAGTTGATGTGTGTGTGTGTGTGTGTCTGTGTATGCGCGCATGTGTTTGAGGGCCCATGTGTAAAAGCATATTTACTGGTCTTCAAGTTACGGTTTATTTACCTACATTCTAACCCCCCATGATTCTCTTCCATTTATTTCAGCTTAGACATTTTTATATATGAAGAGTAAGAAGCCAGTGAAGCCACTGAGAGATGTCCTTAAGAATCTATCATTATAAATGGCCTGTGAGTTCTTAAATACCAAGAATGTGGATTACTCAGTGGGGTTGCAGAAAGATTCTTAAAACATTTTCATTTTGCTATGGTAACTGCACTGATGTGATACCCCGTGAAAGGCTTGGAAATCTTGGCTCAATGTCTGTGCTCTGTAGACACACCCTTGAGAGAGAACATTTATTCCCTTATTCAAAAACCGATTCCCCTTTAAACCCCACCAACATCAGCATATACCCCACTCAGGGCACACTGGAAACCTTTCCCCTCTGGCATGCATCCTAGGCACTACTGGGCTTCCCAAAGGTGAGCAAGCTTAGGGTTGGCCTGACCTCCCAAGTGGTTGAATGTTCGCTGTAGGAGAAAAGTTTTGGAATTTTCTGGAAAACTTTACTAAAGGAAGAAAAACTAACAGCTCTTCTTGGCCAGAAAGAGTAGAAGTATTTCACTAGTTGTTTTCACAAGTTTATCCAGAGAGTTCTATCAAGATGCAATCAAGAGTGGTTTTTTTTTCTTTTTTAAATATCATTTTAGACACACTATCTGCAAACTCAAGCAATCCTTACAGAGAAAAGACACACATTCCATGCCGTCTGGTCTCATTAGCATTCTTCTCCTCATCTCCCAAAAGACTTCATCAGGCATGAAGTGAAAATGATTATTCAAAAAACTGAAAGCAACACTATAGAGATAGTATAAACCACTAGCTACTTGGGTGGTTTCTGGGCAGCATCCCCAAGCTATGCTATGAATTTTACATTCTTATGATAAAAGTGACAATAACTACTATCTTTAATGTTCTATGATTTTATAAAGATAACCCATTTCCAAAGCATCCATAGTTCCTCAAAAATCTCTGACTCTGGTGCGCAACATGGGTGATTGTTCCAGTGTGCACCTGCCTGGTGGATGGACTCAAGGGTTATACACACATGCTCAAGCCAGAGCTGTTATTCTGAAATAGAGACCAAAACCATCCTGATATTGGTGGACAAATTCCTTTTCAGTTTGTCTTATTTTTACTCCATTATTCTGAGAAATAGGTTTCTTTTTTTTCTTTCCCATAAAAGTATGATGCCAATGGGGTTACAATGCATAGCTGCTTACACCTACTAATGGCAGTTTAAGAAGATCTGATATCACACTCTAGAGTCTGGCTTCCAAAATAAATTCAGGCCATTCTTTTCCCTGAGATGCCAGGTGGAACACAGTCAAACTACAGTTTTTCCAAGGATACCACTAAGTCAGCTAACCCGAGAGACTGGGATCCTGTGGACTGGGATCTGGTGTGATTATTGCTCCGAAAATATTTCACAGTCCAAGGGAAAAACTAGGGCCATCTGAATAGGATACAGATAATGATACTGACTTATAAGCGTGTACAGCTCTTTGCTTCTGAAACACATAAAATAGTGTCATCTGGAGGTGTTGTCAGGGCTGAATAAGACCAGGAGAAGGTTTTAGAAGTGAGAGGTGAAGAGGGTCTATCCTTTTACCCAAATGCTTAATGTTCAAGGACAGTTAACTGCAACATTTTGATGTTACCTAAGAGTTAAGTTACCAGGATGCTTATTCACATTGACACTTGGGGGCTCATCATTGTTCTCCCTGAAGGTTTTATCTGACAAACCATCAGCTTCTGGAGACAGAGGCTACTCGGTGAATTTGGATTCAAGAGGTCAGTAAAATGTACCATGGATGCAGAGTTTGGGTCGGGGTGGTACATTATGGACTAAGTACAAAAACGTCTGGTGAGGTCACCAGATGTTGGACCTAGAACTTGATGAATCGTTTTTTCCCATCGGTGTGGTTTGACTGTTCCCTTGAATGCTTTCCTATGAACCTGACTAGTGAGGCAAGGCTTCCTTTCTCCAGCACAAGCATTGGAAACAAAAACCACAATCAGTTTAACATGATTAACATAACATTAACATGATTAACATAACAAGAAGGAACCTCCTTCCCTGGCCAAATGGGCTTTCAACTTGATCTGCTCTTAAGAAAAAAAAAGTCACGAAAAAGTCATTTCCCCAAAACTCCAGCCCTGAGAATTAGTGGCGATGGCACAGACAGCACATGCACCTGGCATCACAGCTCTGTTTCCTTACCCGCAGCTTTTCCTCAGTCTTGGTAGACTGCTTACAGTCGGGATGCCAAACGGTGGAACCTGGAAAGACACAACGCCCGCAAAGAGTTAAAGGAAATGGAAAGAAGCCAGAACTTCTGAGAACAGTTCATATCCTTCTCTCTCTACTGGGGGGGGGGGGGGGGGGGGGGGGAGCGGACGGAGTGTTAGAGCCCAAGTGAATTATGGGTCCAAGTGAATTATGACAACTCTAATCTCCAGGTGAGTTTTCCTCATTCAGTCTGAGCTTGCTCTAGAAAGGTCATAATTCCAGACACAGACACCACTAATGGGCGCAAGAGTGTTGTGACGCAACAGATGTTTAGTTCTTGACTGAGTGTTGTTGCTGTTGTTTTGGACCATATTATTATCCTTTAAAAGTCACGTCTGGGGGCACCTGGGTGGCTCAGTTGGTTAAGCGACTGCCTTCAGCTCAGGTCATGACCTCAGGGTCCTGGGATCGAGCCCCGCATCGGGCTCCCTGCTCGGCGGGAAGCCTGCTTCTCCCCTTCCCACTCCCCCTGCTTGTGTTCCCTCTCTCGCTGTGTCTCTCTCTGTCAAATAAATAAATAAAATATTTTAAATAAAAAATAAAAAAATAAAAAAAAAATAAAAGTCATGTCTGTGTGCTTACTACAGGCTGTATTTAATTTAAATAGAAGGCATAAACCATGTTTACAGAACATCAAAACAACCAAGCAATTTAGATAAGGGAAATAGAGTCAAACCCAATAGTCTATATCCAGAAGCAAAACTCACTGAATTTTTTGTTGATCCAATTACACACAGTCATTTACAAAGATAATGGAAAATCAAGCCAACTAGAAGAAAGGTCGAAAGTTATGTTACAAATGCAGAAGTTTTCTTTAACTGTTAACCTTTTAATTAACAACAACAAAAAAAGTCTCCCCTCTCAAATGAGTGAAATTACTACTTAAGTGTCATTTTCTGTCCCTGAGTCAATGCCTCACCTTCTCTAAATATGAAGCCCTTCCCTGGAATGATGCCCGCATCACAGAACTAAGCAAAACATTTAAATCCCACAGAAAGCTCTTGTAAGAATCCAAGCCCACTGATACGATTTTGTATGCCTAGATATATATGTCATTTATACAGTTGTGGGTCAGACCTGTATGTAAGTCCTATGTTCACATAAGGATACGTTCAAATATGGTTATGGGCAGAAGAACCGAAGGAGCACTAGATAAGACTTGAGCAAATAAAGTTACTAAGTTGAAAGCAGCGAGTAAATGATATAAATTTAATAAGTCTCGGTATGAATATCAGACTTCCCACACATCATTGTTAAATCTTTATCTCTTCAAGCAACCATCTGTGTGTACTTAAAAAGTCACCAAATTAAAGTAACTCTTGAATTATTTTATACTACTGAGCTAGAATAATATTCATGACAAGGATAATACCTTTTATATCAGAATAATACTTTAATCCCTATTTAATAATCATTCCTATCTTGCTTAACCCAGAGCCAAAAAAAATAAAAAATAAAAAAAAAAAAAAAAAGGAAAATGAAACAAACAAACCAGACAGACACATAGTCTTTTCAGCGTTAGCATTTACTCTGAGGCTGGCTACAAAGCACAGGAAATCCTCTTAATGTGGAGAGCCAAGGGTCAGGGGTGGGCCCAGGAGCAGCATTCGCTGTGAAAGTTCGAGTGGGAGCCCTTGGCCAGATCACTGGGTTTGCACACAGTGCACACTGTTCTCCAGAGGTCAGACACACAGGACTGCGACTCGGGGAGAGTATCAGATGCTGAGGAAGATGAACTACTCATTCTTCAAGGAAGTGTCGAGAGGGCAGGAAAAGAGCGCAAAGGCCCAACTCCAGAAGACATTTACAACAATCCCTGGAATTCTGAGGCTAGCCCGTCTTAACTGATAGTTGTTTATTTGTAGTATGACTGTGCTGTTATTTGCACACAGCTTGAAATCACTCTCTATTCAGGTTCCAGAACCATGTGAACGTGCAGAGCAGCACCCAGAGCCTTTGAGTCTCAGTTCCTAGCAGACACGGTGTTGACACGCGCTCTTGTGTCTGGTTTTGAGTGCTGTGATAGACACACTAAAATCTAAAACAAAGCCTGGAGACCAAATAGAGAATAAATCGGCTCCAGGCTGAAAATGCAAAGTGACACCTGCCTATGGCTACGGAGATTCACAGCCTGCCCTCAGAGAAATGTGTCATATAAAGTCCACATGAGACCATGGGTTTGGGGGCCTGTCATTTGCCTTTATTGGGCCCTTTAAAATTCAGCGACTGGGCGCCTGGGTGGCTCAGATGGTTGGGCATCTGCCTTTAGCTCGGGTCGTGATCCCAGGGTCTTGGGATCGAGTCCCACATCGGGCTCCCTGCTAGGCAGGGAGCCTGCTTCTCCCTCTGCCTCTCTCTCTCTGACTTTCATGAATAAATAAATAAAATATTAAAAAAAAAGAAATTCAGCGACTTTTTTCATCAGAATTTTCCAGAGTGATCATGAAAACTAAGGGATATTTGGGTCGTCATTTTCTCATATAGCTACCATTTTTCAGAGAAGAGTAGCTAAGGCTTTGCTTTAATATTCAAGAATCACTTCCATAGACTTTTCTTCGTTGTATAAAAACAAAACAGAGAGCAAAGCAAACCATTCATTAAAATACATGTAGTGTTAAGTGCAGAGAGACAAAGAAATGAATGCAAAGGCAGATGAGACCTGGTAATTACCAAACTGAATGAGGACCAGCTCCCATGGTTCTCTCTAATTTTACTGATAAGCCCTTGTCGATTTAATGACACTTTCTCCAGCTAAAAATAGTAAAATGTTTGTGCAGATGGTGCTGTTTGGAAGAGACTCCTCCCCTAAGCTTCTTGCTGGGAAATTTCAGCATTTTAGGGGAGATAAAAACTAGTCATGGTTACACACTGAGAAAATTTCTCAAAATGATTTTCCATTAGAAAAAAATCTGGGGGCACCTGAGTGGCTCAGTCAGTTAAGCATCCAGCTCTTGATTTCGGCTTAGGTCATGACCTCAGCATTGTGAGATTGAGCCCCCAGTTGGGCATGGAGCCTGCTTAAGATTCTCTCCCTCTGCCCCTCCCCCCACCACCCCCAAAAATCTGATGGCCCTCTGGTAATGAATACTTCTTTGCCACCAGAAACTTCTCCATTTCTCTTTCAGGGACTCTGGCTATGTTCTCACTCTCTCGCTGCCTCTCTTTCTTTCAATATGAGAGCTACATCATCTCAATGAGGTGAAATACATCTATGATGCAATTCACCAACTATGAGATTTCTTCTTCCTGAAAGCCTGCATAAGAGCAGGTTGGAGGCATCAAAAAATCCTTCCCGCAGGATAGTGAAAGGAGCAAAGACAAAGTAGCATCTAGAAATGCTTTTTCTCTTTTGTCTTGTTTCCCAGACCTCCTGGGGAAGGTTGGGAGGAGGTGTTGCTAATTTTCACTCTTGCCTCACCTCCATAGGACCAAACATCAAATCCTATTCGTTCATTCCAGAAGCAACATATTCCTTTGTTAAACACACTCAGGGGCTCACTGCTGGCATGTCAACTGCTTGGCTGATTAATACTAACTGATGAGGTAACTTCCGGCCACATTCATTTTGGATCTGGGAAGCCTTGTAGCTAATGAAGTGCCTCCTTCTCTGAAAACAAACAAAGCAAGGTTTTCTTTCCCCAGGCAGAAAGAACTTACTGAATTCAGTCCATCTTACCTTGAAGATACATTTCCTCTCCTTCTGTGAACATCTGATTGCATCTGCTGCATCGTGCACAGCTGGGGTGGTAATGTTTGTCACCTGCCTGCAAGAGAAGAGGTAGGGACTATTTAGTTTACACCTTGTCACAGCTCCCAGCCTCTTTTCTGGACATGGGGATTCGGAGGCAAAGAGAAACAGCTGAGGCAGGAAAAATAATTGTCCAATTGACCTAACCTCTTATACCAACAGCCCTGGAAGCGGAAGCTGTCACCAGTAGAACTGGAAGGGGCTCAAAGACTAGCTACTGATGCCTGGATGATAGGGCAGCCTTGCTTCTCAGGGTTTCTGGTGTCCACCTCTCTCTTGGCCTGGTCGCTCTTGGATGGTTGCTAGTTACACACCATGTGCCTGAGATGAGTCCACTCCATCTCCAAAAAACCCCACCCAATTAACATCCAAATTGATGTGGAGAAACATACTGGTTTATACTAAAGTATTAAAAGAAAGGATTCTCATATTTAGCAGGTTCTTATTTTCTTAGCTAAACTGTCTAAAAATAGTAAAATCTATCTAGCTTACATCAAGACAGGAAAAGCCATAGTAAAGGACATAATCCACAGCTTTCACCTTAGGAGGACCCCAAATTCTCTTCTATGTTGCTTATAACAGTCTTTTGCCAAAGTCTTATATTGTTTTCTGAAGAAGGCATTTTACTGAGGTGGCCTTGCGTTATTCATGAGCAGTTCACATTCCTAAATATGACAGATGCCATCACAGCAGGTGTTGACTTCCCCTAAGCAAAATGTCACTGGACACAGGGACAATTCTCTAGACAGGTGCCAAGTCACATTAGAGTCATGCTCCAAATGTATGCCTGACAAAATGAAATCTTGTTTAGAGCTTAGCAAAAAATCTTCACCACCTAAAAATTATCAAATATACTCTGCAATGAAATCATTTTATTAACCAAGTGTGAAATAGTTCTTTTGCATGAACCACATGCAAGGCAGTGCTGAGAGCCGAGTTAGAAGTAGCTGCCCCCTGTGCTTGTGTGAAATCTCAACAGGAAATCAGAGGTCAGGTAGTGATTCCTTTCTCACACCCTCCAGTAGAAACTACAAAAGCCACTTAGCAACCAGAGTATGAGATGGTAGTTGGTTACTCAAGACAATCAACTGGAAAAAGATTTATTTCAAAATAGAAGCCAGGAATGAAATCTGTTCAATGGTGCCAATCAGAATATTCTAGAAGTGGTGCTCTTGTTTTGGTTCACACACTATTATTTAATTATTTTTTTTCCAGGGGATGAAGGAAGCATAGGAAATGTCACACAAAGTAGCTCCTTCCCTTAGGCCATCCAGGGTCAAATGTGAATGAAAGGAGAAAGAGAAAAGTCACAATAAGTTCTAAACCACTGTAGTTCAGCTGGGATGCTAATGCTGAGAGTTCCCAGCCAGGTAGGACAATCTCTGGATTCTCAAGGAAAATGTAAGTGAAAGAATTAAGGCACCTTGACAGGAAGTTTGTGTAGTCTACAGTGAAAAGCACACTCCTCAGTAAACTGGGAGTAGGAAGACAGATATTCAAACTGATACAGTATATCTGTCATATTTAGTGGTGCAATATTAGGCACATTCTCAACAAACATAGCACCAAGACAATGACTTACACTTTCACCAAGGTTTTTCTACATTGTTTTAGTCCTAGCCAATGTGATAAGGCAAGAAGAAATAAAAATGCAGGTCACTAATGAAAGAGTTCAAATAGCTAGATAAAAAATAAACACAGAAAACTCCATAGCTTTCTTATTGACTAGCAATACAAATTCAGTCAGTGTAATGGGAAAACAGGACTCCATTTCTAATAGCAACAAACAAACCCTTCAATGCAAGATCTACGTAAAGAAAACTATAGAATTTAACCGATGGACATAAAAGGCTAACGGACATATTTCTGGATGAGGAAACTAAATATTTAAAGATGTCAATTTATCTAAAATGAACCTATTAATGCAATGCATTCTCAGTCACAATACTCATAGGGGTTTCATCTACAGATCTTGACAACCCGATTCTGTAAGTTCATATGGAAGAAAAAAATGCACAAAAAAAATTTTTTTTTTTTAAAAGAGCATCAACGAAGGGGGATTTTCCATTCCTGACATAAAAAGTTATTCTAAGGGGCGCCTGGATGGCTCAGTCCTTGTATCTGCCTTCAGCTCAGGTCATGATCCCAGGTCCTGGGATCGAGCCCCGCATCAGGTTCCCCACTCGGCGGGAAGCCTGCTTCTCCCTCTCCCACTCCCCCTGCTTGTGTTCCCTCTCTCACTGTGTCTCTCTGTCAAATAAATAAATAAAATCTTTGAAAAAAAAAAGTTATTCTAAGGCTCAAATAATTAAAGATCTTCAATACGGGTCCAGGAATAGAAAAGAAATCGGTGAAACAGATAACCCAGAAAAGCCAGTTGCACAGCTATACGCAAGATAATTTAGTCTATGATAAAGGTGGCATTTCCAATGAGTTGCAAAATGGATTATTCCACTAATGGTGAGAACAATGGATTCTCCACTTAGAGAGAGGTAAAACTAGATTCTTAATTCTTAACCTACAAAAAAAGAATTCTAGAGAGTTACATAGTTAAATATAGAAACAAAAATGTAGAAATACTAGATGAATACATAGGAGATAATTTAGTATACTTGGGGGTAGGAATGCTTTCCTAAACAAGGCAAAATCTAGAAACAATAAAGACAAATAATGACTGTGCACACACATAAAAATGTCTAGACGTAAAAAAGTTAGAGGAAGAGTAGCAGAGAAAAAATACTTGCCATGCATGTCATACAAAAGATTATCCAGAATATATAAAGAGTATCTCTAATAAAAAATAAGTGGGAACATGTGCAAAAAGTAATTTCCAGAGGACATGTAGAAGACCCCAAAAATAAAGAATTAGCTCAACTCCACCAGGAATCAGGGAAACCCAATTTAGAAAAAAAAATATTTTTCTTCACCAAACTGACAAAGATAAAGAGAAGACTAATGTGAGGAAAAAGGCATTCTCACACACTCTTGGTGAGCAAAATTCTTTTTGGAAGGCAGCTTTGGCAATATTTATTCAAATTTAATATGCACATACTCTGATGCATGATACCACTGCTAGAAAGCTATCTTACAGAAACTCTCAAACCTGTGCTTGAGAGTGTACCTATTAAGGATCTTCAACATTATTTATAACAGCAAAGAACAAAACAACAGAAAGCAACCTAAATAACCTAAATAAGAAAGTAGTTGAATAAAATATTGAATCATATGTAGCCATTAAAGGAATGAAATAAACTTACATGGAAAGAGTTTAAAAGAGCCAAGACGTCCATCGACAGATGAATGGATAAAGAAGTGGTATATATACACAATGGAATATTATGCAGCCATCAAAAGGAATGAGATCTTGCCATTTGCAACGACGTGGATGGAACTGGAGGGTGTTATGCTGAGTGAAATAAGTCAGTCAGAGAAAGACATGTATCATATGACCTCACTGATATGAGGAATTCTTCATCTCAGGAAACAAACTGAGGGTTGCTGGAGTGGGGGTGGGGTGGGAGGGATGGGGTGGCTGGGTGATAGACATTGGGGAGGGTATGTGCTATGGTGAGCGCTGTGAATTGTGCAAGACTGTTGAATCACAGATCTGTACCTCTGAAACAAATAATGCAATATATGTTAAGAAAAAAAAAAGAAGAAGATAGCAGGAGGGGAAGAACAAAGGGGGGTAAATTGGAGGAGGAGATGAACCATGAGAGACGACGGACTCTGAAAAACAAACTGAGGGTCTAGAGGGGAGGGGGGTGGGGGGATGGGTTAGCCTGGTGATGGGTATTAAAGAGGGCATGTACTGCATGGAGCACTGAGTGTTATGCACAAACAATGAATCATGGAACATTGCATCACAAACTAATGATGTGATGTATGGTGATTAACATAACAATAAAAAAAGAGTTTAAACTAATGCTGCCAAGAGAAAAAATCATGCAGAAAAACAACGCCTATAATGTAGTCCCATAAAGTACTAGCTGACAGTGTGGAGACACTGGGGTGAGTCTGACTAGATTCAAATCCAGTTTCAGCATGATGTGGTCTTGTTGGCAGCAGGCTCTCTAAACATACAGCACTCAACTGCTGCAACTACCTCACAGGATGTGATTAGGGTGAGTGATCATATGATATTTTTTTTTCAAAGATTTTACTTCTTTATTCATAAGAGACAGAGAGAGAGAGGGGGGCAGAGGGAGAAGCAGGCTTCCCGCTGAGCAGGGAGCCCGATGTGGGACTCGATCCCAGGACTCTGGGATCATGACCTGAGCCAAAGGCAGACGCTTAACCATCTGAGCCACCCAGGCGCCCCAGTCATATGATATTTTGAAAATGGTGCAGCACACTACTACATATAGTAATAATAAAAGAAACAACAACAACAATTAGTAATCCTCTGAACAGAGGTGGTCCCAGGGCCATTCACAAAGAGAAGTCTTGTTAGCACCGGTTGGGACGCTGGTAAAAGGCCCCCTCGGTGCCCATTCTTTCCCAAGGACAGGCGCAGGAGAGGAACTGTTACACGAACTCTCATACAAGGCGGATGGAAGATACGCCAAGGCCCCAGGTGGCAGGGCTGTGGTGTATAAACCATTAGCAAAAACATTGCTAAGAAACAATACCAGCATGACGCCAGGGACATCGGTCCTGACCCATGCACTCGCTCATCTCAGAATGCTGAACATGTCAAGTAATTCAGGGAGCCAGAATTGAAGTCCATTTCGCAGCCATTCAAAAGTCTGTTCTTGCAGCAGTGCGGGCCTGGGGGACCACACATGGTGAGGGGCTCAAGGACAAGGGAACCTCTGCTTTGCATGTGAGAGCCACCTCCTCTCTTTCATTTCTTCTTACGCTGGTACCCATGACAGTTCACAGTCAAGCCCTATGCACAGGGCCAGGAAAAGGGATCAGAGCTGAACACAGACGTGGGTTCATATGCAAACCAACCCCCAACCTGGACATAGCTGATCAAAATCATTTACACTGGAGTCATTTATAGAAGAAGGA